TTTCTTTTCTTAATGTATTTTGTGCAGGTTCTCACTGCGTAGCTCAGACTCATAGCGATCCTCCTGTTTTCAGGTTCCTCAGAGCTGGGATTACAGGTGTGGGCTACCACACCCGGACTTGGTTGCCCTGGGGGTGGGGCTAGCACAGCATATGGGGCTGGGGATCGAACCCTGGTCCTTTTGGTCACCAAAGCAGGCACTTAGTCTGCTGAGCTGTCTTGCCAGCCCAGTCTCTCTGTTTGAAGCCGTCTTGGCTTTAGCCAGAGGTGGGTGGACCAAGGCCCAATTGGGCCATGAGCAGCTCCCTGTGGCCGAAGGAAGATCGGGTAGCTGTGAATAAAGGCAGGAAGTGGCAGGCAGTGAGTGGAGGTGGGCAGGACAGACCCAGGGCAAGTGAACCCAAAGCATCCAGAGACTCAGGGTCCCAGCTGTCCTGGGTCCAGCCTCTTGCTCACCTGGAGGACAAAGGTGTCCCCAACTCCTGAGATGAAGCTTTTCTTTCTGTTTCATCCTGCGCTTGGGGGTTCTTGTGCTCACTTCCTGTGCATCACTTACCTCCTGAGGGCCAGTCCCACACTCTCATTCTGTTGGGCTGAGCTGAGAAGCTGCAGCACACTGCCCGCTGGACAGTGCCGCATGCAGGACACCCCTGTCCAGCCTCAGGCCCACACGCTCAGAACGACGTGGCCTCTGCCTGCTGGCTGCTCTCACTGCCCTGTGGCTGACTTTGCAGCACACGTGGCTGCACGTAGTTCCCACCACAAGGGAAGAGTAGTTTCCTGGAATTCTCCATTCATGAGAGCATGCCTCGGTCCCCTTGCCAACTAGCCCAAGGCTGCTCACCATCCATGAGCCTCTTCCGGGGAGGGCAACGACTAGGTTAAGAGTGGGCAGCAGGATTACAGAAGGATTGCAAAGTAGATCCAGCACCCAGCCAAGGTCTTTGCAGGGAGTTTCAGAATAGCACTCCATTTCTAGGGGAAGAGAGTTATCTAAGAAAGATAAAGCCACTAGCTCCCAATCCTGGAATGTATTGAAAACCGAGAACTGTCAGGTTTGTCAGCTTCAGACAAGACAGCAACTGAGGGAGTGTTGCAGTCCTGTAGTCCTCTTTTTCAGGTACAGAAACCAGAGCAGGTAACCAGGCAGAAGGTGGCCGAGTCTAAGAATGATACAGACGTAGGTCCTCACGGTGACCTCGGAAGCTCAGCCCATACAGTGGCCATTGTGGTTTCTCCTCAGGCTTTACCTTCACATCCCACTTGAGAAGGCTTAAAGTCCCAAGTCATTCGGCTGGGAGAGAAAGCACTTCTAGTCTATCTCTGTAGCAAGGGCTTTTGGAGAAGACTAAGTGTGAGTTTGTGTGGGTGATGATCCCAAGAATGTGGGAAGGAAGTGATGAAGAAGGGTGACATTGTCAAGTGGCTTTGCAAAACACAGACAACTAGGTTTGCACCTCACTGGGGATCCCCAGGAGACTGGGCAGGTCACACTTCAGTGGCAGCCCCGAGGAGGGCACCAAAAGTTTATCCAAGGCCACCACTGGTGGGAGGCTTTTTCTAGAGCCATCTGAGCAGCCCTCTGCACACTCTTTGCCATCTGGCAAATCCTTGGACAAGGACAGGCAGATAACCAGACCTGAGAACCAGGTCACCTCAGATGTGGGACTCTGCTCCTCCCTGAACCCCTTACTGGTAGGTCTGGAGGGAGGCTCAAGAGTTCGCCTTTCAAATGGGGCTGGGTACTTGTGCAGTGGATTGTCTTGATCGAGAGAAGCTGAGTGGAGTTTTCAGGTCTCGCCTGTCTCTTCTTCATGGCTTCCCCCTCTGTCTGAAGACTCAGTTTTCACTGCACCTTGTGTCCTAGCTCCCAGGGTCTATGCCAAGACTTTAGAAACGGAGGATTAATAAGCACGTTCAACTCAATGCAACGGTTCCTGGCAGATAAAATGCAATCTGCCAGCCACAATTTATTTATGATAGGGTTTATACATATATTTATAAGTTTGCAAGCAACAAATGCACAGTTTTAAAACTGATACATTTTATATAGCAAGCAGAAAAATTACAACTTTATACCAGGACTTGTGAATGTGAACCGCATAGGTATCTACACACATACATGCACCCAAGCTGACAAAAGCGATTTGCCTGGGGCTCCCCCACCCCCACTCCTCCCTGGACTTTGTAACACACAAGGACAACTAGACTGTCAAACAGTCCTTAAGAGCTTGGGGTTGACGCGCACGAGCACTGACTGAAACACAGGAGGATCCTGGAAGCTGCTGGATCTGGGATCCCAGCTGGAACAGGACATGGGGACAGTAGGAAAGGCTGTGACAGACAAGAGGGAAGAGAAGTCAGCAGGGAGAGACAAGGGGGAAAGGAGGCAGAGAGAAAAGGAGTGTAAAAGGGAGGAGAGGAGAAACAAAACAAGTACAGACTTAGATTTTCTTTATCCGCCAGGGCCCAGTTCTGTGAGACAGCACTGCAAGGGGCAGGAGACTGTGCTGTGGCAGGTGTGGGTCCCTGGGGGCTGTGGTGCCCAGTGATGCCCAGCAGCACCCCCTGGGCTCTTCTAACTAGCCTTCTTGGCCTCGTTGGTGCACCTGTCTCTGAGCAATAGGATCTGCTCTGGGCTCATGGACTAGAGACGTGAATGCACCAGGTTTCTGCAGGAGTGTATAATCTAGAAGGAGGTCAGTACGTACACATACATGCACACACACATTGGTGTGTGACAAGCCTCAGGGTGCTGATGTGTCCTGATTCAGTAGGACCAGGAAGGACAGACCACACAGGTCTGTCCAGTGCCCCTGGTCAGGCTTTGTACCACAAGCATTGATGTGGAAGGTCCAAAGGGGCAGAAGAGGGCACGGAAGGCTCAGGGCTTATCTGCTACGGGCGAGTCCTCTTTGTCTTCCTACCTGCCAGTTCAGATGCCCTGAGCAAGTGAGTTCCAAATACCTAAAGTGCACAGACTCCTTCCCCAGGGCTGGAAGAAACAGTTTTGCAGGAAAAAAGCATAAGAAATAAAAATCATGCAGTTTTAAGTATTTGAGATTTTTGTCGTCTCACTTTGAGCTACTGTAGCTGTGGAGATGTGCACTGGGGCGTGGCCCTGCTGCTCCAGGCTGCTGTGGGAAGGCCCAAGTAGACCTTTTCACCTTGACCAAAGTTCCTAACCACTGAAATCAAGCAACAGTTAACAAAGCAGAAAGGAAGGGACAAATTCAAGTTTCAACACTCTTTCTTTGTAGCAGCAGTTACGTGCAAGTGGCAAGTGGAATGTTCTCTGCTCCCCTGACTTGAATGCAATGTGTTCTAGAATATTGTGAAATTAAGTATGTGAATGTTTCTTTGTATTCAAAATTAAACCTCTGGTTTTGAAATCCCCGGATGAGGAGATAACTCCATGTAAATTTCATGTGTAATAATAAGGTATTTATTTTTAAAATGCATTTGGATGGCAAATTATACTTCTTGGTAAATGAGTATTATTTGAAAATTTTGCTTTGTTCCATTAACTTTTGTGAAATGAAATGAATTCTTGTAACGGTCTGTGTCTGCGTGTAGGACCAGCAACCCTTCCCACCTTGACACTGGAGTGGATCTGGCTTCCTGGACACCCCTGAGGAGTGGAAATACAAAACTCACCCCAAGGTTTTTGATGTTTGTTCTACGGGGAATGATAAATCCCAAGTCTTTTGCCCAACATTTTGGAGATCAGACAACATAACAGGTCAACATACTTGGCTTAAATTCCCTCCTCACCTTCAGCGAATCCATTTCCCTCCTTCAGGAAATGATGTGGTTTCACTTACAAGCCCTTCACCGGGCGCCCAGGGCCTCCTGTGCCACAGGGACTGCCGGGGGAAGGTGGCACAGCACCCTCCGGGGTCGTCACTCTGACCCACGGGTGCAAGATGACACACATAATTTAGGTAATGCTGTACTTCTCATGAAGACTGGTTATGGGACAATGTGCCTTTATCATCAGAATAGTGGTATGTGCATTTCTGATTCCATAGCAACCTCTTTGGATGTTTGACTTAGGTACTCAAGACATTTGGGTGTTGAGGCTTTGCACTGTAGATACAATTTACAAGCATGGACCTGGCAGTGTAATTAGACATTTTCTATAAAATGCACCTTGTTACAGCTCTGTGAAAGGCTCTGTACCAGCACAGAATAACTCTGGCTTAAGAGTTGAGAGGAATGACCATGTTTTAAACGGTTCATTGTTTCAATGGCTATACATGTAAGTCTGCTGAAAATAAAGGCTACTGTGGAAAGTCTCTTTCATTTGAGGATGGGTCTCCTACTGCCTCACAAAAGGAAGCAGGGCAGTTTCAAACTTTGCTCTAGGAAATGGTATTTTTAGTTTCCAGAAGAATGAAAAGTGGTGTGAGATGAAGGCAGCCTTACTGGGGATTGAACTCAGGCCCTTGTACTTGCCAGGGAAGTGCTTATTCCACTGAGCCATCTCCCCAGCCCATAGGGTCTCATGTTAGGGACGATCTAACACCTCATTGGCCAAATGAAGCTGGAGAGAGGAGAGGGAGAGCTGCAGTTCTGGTGATACTAGGGCACCACCAACACATTTATGTCAAACACAAGAAGCTAAGATGTGTCATTTCTCAGGAAAAAGCTTATGCAGAAAGCTGGTTCTGACGGTTTCTCTGCATAAATAGCAGCAGGTGAAGCAGGAGCAAACACCCCATCCCCTGAAGCTGTACTTTCTCAGTTTCCCCCCAATCAGTGGAGCTCTTACCCATCCTAGAAAATAAGAATCTGAGGAAATTGATGGGAATAGCACCAATGACCGAAGTGTCACTAAAATACTACCGCACAGTGGGAAGTATAAGGTTTTGAAAGAGGGATTTGGGTTCCAAATGTGGTTTATGCTGGCTGAGAGGTGAGTTTGCCAAGGGCTGGCTCCCGGAAAACACAATGAAGCAACCTCATCCCACCCTAGAGATTCTCAGAAACTGGTTTACATAACGGCTTTTGGTTTTATTTTTTTTTAAACAAACATACAATGGGATTTTTTTAACAAACACATTGGAAAGAGTAAAGGCTACTAAATGCAGTGAGATCAAACTCATAGATTCTCTGTGGCATATATGATCACCGGACTCAAACCCACATTGCGAGAGCTGGGACTGCCTCACTCCTAAATGACCTCCAGCTGGCTGGGCAGGTATGTGCCTGCAAATGGTGTCAGACCTGTATCAGTGATCACAATTACTTTCTTCATGTATTTTTAGTTCACTTTGCTTAAAAACTTTGTGTTATCTCCAGGAGGCTTTATCAACATGCCACACATGGCCCCTCCCAGCAGGAGAAGTGGTAGTAGTTTCTAGAAGGATCAGAGTGGACACCAACACAAAGGCATTGGTGAAGTCAAGGCAGTAGAACAAGGTGTAATCAGTATTAGTGGCAGAGAGCTGAGGCTTCCAAAGCAACTCAAACTATGATAGATGGACTTTTAAAAAACACTTCATTTCCTAGGTGAAAAATACATGTGGCTTCCCTCCACACATGTGGTTTTTTCTTTCCTAGAAATTTCTTGACTCCTCTCATGCCATTCGCTGAGAAAATGCACCACTTTTCAGGGATGTACAGAATGCAACAACACATGCCATTCAGGAGCATCTCCTTACCAATAGGCTCTATCTCATCAGGAACGAAGATGAGGAAAGTCTTTGGTCAGTATGCCGAGGTCACCAGGGACTCACGAAAACACCCCTCAGCAACAGCAGCTTACATTGGATACATTGAGGAATCAATTCTCACCGAACCTAAGCACTTGAGGGAGCTCTGTTGCGAGGTTCACCCTTCTGAAGGCTGTTTCTGTTGTTTTTACAAAGAACTCAGCACAGCAGTGGTGTGCATGCTAGCTCCACGTCTGTGTGTGCTGTGCATGGAACCCTTGGGGACAGCAGGACAGAGACATCTTCTGAGTGCTGCCTTTGTAGGATCAACAGAGCGAGACAGAGTCAGCTTATGTTGGAAAGTAAGCTCACAGTGCTGCGTGGGTACTGTCAGTGCACGGCTCTCGGAGGAGCCCATAAAACTGCCAGTCACAGTCTCTGACCTCAGTTCTGCTGCTCCCATCAACAGTCACAATCATGATCAATGTCTACTGTCAGGATCCTGAGACTTTGCTGATGGCCTCAGCCATGGGTGGTGAAGTATGAGCAATTCCTGATTCTGTGCTTTTCTGGTAAGAACTGAACTGGATAAAGAATCAAAAGTGCTGTCTTGTAAACCTCTTGTTGTGGTGGAAACTCAGCTGCATTAAGCAGATTATGACTCCCAAGGTGAGCCCTCCTCACACATTTGCAGGCTTTTGGTGGTTGGTGGGAGGACACACCGGTGCTAGGAGAGCTAGGCTGGCTTTCATAATCACACTGTTTGGCTTCTGGATAAGCGTACAATGATGAGAAGAACAGGAGGAGAAGAGGAGCACAGGGCCAGCTGGGTCAGACCACACAGCTGGGCTTTATGACTGTGCTTCCCAGAAGACCTCCTACCAGTCTGAGGCGCTCGGGGTGCATGTCCTCAGATGTGGTGCTGTAGTTTGAACACATTTACAGGACAGTTACATAACTGCACAGGGTGCTGAGACTGTAGGCACCATGCAGCAAATCCATGGAACACAAATTCCATGCGACACAGACAGGGAAACTAATGAATATACAATTCCTATGCACAATCAGTGTAGTGTGAAGGCATCAAAACATCACCCAGAGGCCTACTGAGAGGCACACTGTGCACTGTGTGGCCTGTGACCTTCCCCTCTGCGAGCCACAGGAAGTGGTTGTCAGGATCCAAAGGAAGGCAGCGGATGATGTAAGCAGCTTAGTGCGTTCAGAGCACTGTGAAAATGGACAAGGCACAGTGTCTCCACTGAAATGGGTTGACAGTTTCTCAGGACGTCTCTTCCGGAGACATCCACACCAACCGGGATGTCAGGCAATGTCAAATAGAGCTCCCAAGTCACAGCTCCTAGAGGGCCCACACGGAATCGAGACATGCATGCAATAAATAGAGCATGGGTGCAGGGCCGGCCGCAGGAGGGTTCACTGGCCGAGCACGCCATTCTGAAGGATTCTGTTTCTGTCCATGATGCAAGAGGAGGTGGGCATAGCAGGCAAGTCTTCCTTGATCTTTGGAGAGTGACTGCTGTTGCTGCTGCTAGATTTGCTCCTGCTTGGGTCTAGAGCAGGCTTCATGGGTGAAGCGTGAGACCCCTTGCTCTTGACCAGGCAGTTGCAGACCAGACGGAAGAAGGCGCGCCGCATCTCCTTGCTGGCCAGTGTGTAGATGACAGGGTTCATGGCAGAGTTGAGGACAGCCAGCATGATGAACCACCTGTCCTGAAAAAGGACAGAGCATTCCTTGACCCTGCAGGCCACATCGATGAGGAAGAGGATGAAAAGTGGAGACCAGCAGGCGATGAACACACTCACCACGATCACCACTGTACGAAGCAGGGCCATGGACCGCTCGGAGTTGTGGTTGGCCACCTTGCGGCTGCTGGACTTCACCAGGAAGTAGATGCGTGCGTACAGGATCACAATGGTCACCAGGATGGCTATGAAGATGCTGATGCAGAAGGCGATGTACTTCTTGGAGTACAGGGGAAGGATGGTGGAGCAGTCAGGCAGGTTCTGCAGGCAGTTCCAGCCCAGGATGGGCAAGGCACCCAGCGAGAAGGCGATGAGCCAGCACATGCCAATCAGAAGGAAGACCCGGTGCTTCTTGTTGGCATCATAGGGCCTCATCTTGATCATGGTCAGGTGGCGCTCGATGGCAATGGCCAGCAAGCTGCAGGTGGATGCGCCTAGAGCCACAAACATACTGCCCTCCCTGACGAACCAGACGGTCAGTGACAGGCTGAACGTCTTCTGACCTGACATCAGAATGTTGACCTTGTACAGTACCCCCGCCAGCAGGTCGCACAGGGCCAGGTTGCCGATGAAAAAGTACATGCGATTGTGAAATTTATTGTTCTTCCAGATGGCGATCAGAACCATCAGGTTCTCCAAGACGATGAAGCTGCAGAGCACCAGGAAGAGGGCGGTGGTGAGCGTGTTGCCCTCGGAGGGGTCCTTCAGCCTGTCTTCCAGCTTCCCCACGAAGCTGTAATGTTTCCGCAGCGTCTCATTGGCCGAGGCTGGCTGCGTGAGTGAGAGGGGCGGGATCGTGGCTGCCATCGACGCCGACAGTTAGCCGCACAAGCCACTAGAGGGCGCCCGGGGAACGCTCATGTCAAGGCCGCCGCGAGACTGCCGCTGTGGCTCCGGAAAGGTGCGGGCGAGACTCCAGCAGGGGGCTGGGAGCGGGCTCCTGTAACGAAAAGTGGCAGAGGGCGACCATGAGTTAAGGGGTTGGCCACAGAGCCATCGCAGCACGGAGGAATCTGGACAGCCAGAGAGGTCAGGGCTGCAGAGGGTTCTTTAAGCACAGGCCACGTTTACCAGCAGTGGAGAGCGGGGTAAGCTATTCGGAGTCAGGAGTTTATTCCCAAGGGACAGAAACTAAACGCATGAATCATGCAATCATGTAAGCAAGGCACACAGACCCAGATCAAGCCTCCACTTGGAAATCTCCAGGAACTGGCAGCCAGTGAGTCCTCATCTACTGCACAGGAGCTGGTAATTTGTTACCCCAAGTTCCCAGAGAAAAGCGTGCTTTTCTCAGGAGAAGGAGCGAACAGCCAGAACAGAATCAGGAGCGATACCTCCTGGACTTGGGAGACCTCTCCGCTGCATGGGGAGTCACATCGCGGGAAGTGCCCACACTTGCTAGGTGGCTTCCCCAGGCGGACATGGGCCAACAAGAAGAGCAGTGACAGCTAAGTGCAGCCGCGCAGCGCTCCAGTGTGCAGTGCAGCTCAGAGCGCAGCGAGGAAGGGGTCAAAATCTGCAAGAAGGAAGCAGCTGCTCCCGAAGTTGGAGAAGGGGGAAGACCTGCGAGGAAAGTCACACAGATTCTGAGCACGGCTTATAACGCAGAGGCCCGGGCTGAGGTGCAGCTGGGGTACAGCACTGAGTTCTGTTCCTAGCACTGCTGGAGAGGCCCAGATCTTACACATAATTACACCTCGCATGTGAGCCGGAAGAACAACACAAGTGCAAGCCCAGGGAGACAGGAAGGCAGTGGCGCCAGGCGCCAGGTCCTCCGCGGGCTCCGAACTTGAAATCTTCCTCCCCTGGACTCCAGCGTGGGTCCTGCTGAACCGCTGGTAATCCCGACTGGCCTCCTGTGAGTCTGATGATGCTGCAGACTCCACTCCCAAGGCAGAAACTGTTTTCAGTTTTGCACACACCTCATTTTTTAGTTTGCAACTGATATATAATTGCACCTATGGATGCGGTTACAGAGTGCTAGCCTGATGCATGTCTACAATGTGGGATAATCAAATCAGGGTAATTAGGCTTTGCATTTCCTTATCATTTCTTTGTGTCGGGAAGCTTCGAGCTTCTTCTATTTAACTGCAACAACTTTGTACCTGCTACCCAGCGTTGCTCCTTGCCTTCACACCTTCCCACCCTTTAGTAACCACAGTTCTATCCTGTGTACTTTTAGGAAGTCAAATTTTTAACCTCTATATGTGAATGGGATCGTGTATTTTGCAGTTGTTTGAGAATTTAAATATCTGATGAAGATCAAATGAGGTTAACTTACGGTGGCTCACCCTGTGCTTGTACTGAAGATATTTTTACCGTGTTAAGCCACTGCTGTAAACTAGGTCAGAGACACAGCGGCCACCCTGCGGCACCACAGCACTCTACACTTAGGGCTCCGCAGCATCTGAGAGAAGCCCACGTGGGAGCCCAGTCCCAGCAAGGGCCCCAGACCCTCCCCAGAGGACACTGTGCCTCCCTGGTTTCCAAGCCCCGTGATCCTCTAGGACAGCAGATGTCATCCAAGCCCTTCCTTCCACAGTCACTTGGACTCTTTTGAAGATAGGGAGGTGACAGTTTGTGGCTTCTTTGAAGAGCTTTCGTCCAGTACCCTGGAGCCTGGAAAGGTCAGTTGTTCCAGAAGCCCTGGCTGCTGTTGGCACTGACATCTGCGTTCTGCCTGGAACTACCCTGGCCCCCGCTTGCACCCTTCATGAGAGCTGTCTGGGATCCTCAAGGTCATTTGAGTGTCACATGCTGTCAAGAACCTTTCTTTCTTTTTATTTTTATTTATTTATTTATTTTTTGGTCTTTTTGAGACAGGGTCAAGCTATGCAGTTATGCAGTGTAGGCTGGTCTTGAGCTCACTTTGTAGCCCAGGCTGGTCTCAAACTTGCAAAATTCCTCCTGCATCAACCTCCAGAGTTCTGGAATGCCTGACTGACCTTTCCAGATTGACCTGGGCCCTCTTCTAGTTTCGGAGCAGAAAGTTGCCCCAGGAGGTGAGGCTGGCGTGATGGCCTAGGTAACGACCCATGTCACTCATGAGCCCGCCCACACATGCGAGCCCTGCCTCACCTAGCGCAGCTCCTCACCTGGCGAGGCCTGGGTAGGCTCCCTTGGGGGCAAACAGGACAGTAGGTGAGCAGCTCCCTCTTCGCTTCCCTTCTTTTGCTGAAGCCTGCCTGCCTTCAAGCCTAGGTCACACTCCACCTGTCCTGCAGTCCTGGGTGCCTCCCCTGGAGCTGCTTATCTGGCTGCCAGCTAGTTTGGAAGAGTAGAAATCATAACAAGCAGCAGAAATTCCCTGCACCAGGACTATGAACCCATTCACACATGGATGCTCTGCCCGGAGACCCTCATCTTAGCCTCCCACTGATGCACTGCAGTGCACACTATTTGCCCAGCACCCTGCACACTCGTGGTACCTGGCAGATGCTTGGACCCTGGTTGTCCAGCTGTGATTCTGTTTTTACTTTGTGGGCAGTGACTGGAGAGTTGCTGTGTCCATGCCTTCGCTCTGCTCTGTTTCCATCCTGATTTGGCCCCATGTGGATGTGTCTGAGCTGAGGCAAGGAAGGCTGTCATCAGTGACCAGTGTCCAATGCTGTGTCCTATGGGTGTTCTTCACGTCCCCTGCAGCAGCTTTCTTACCTTCCCTGGAACCGTCACCATGCTGATGAATGGGCCTGCCAGATTCACAGCAGTGGGAACAACTTTCTTCCTCTTATGGCCCCAGCTGCCCCACCTATGATATGCTCTACTAAGGCTGGCCATGCATCCCACCACAGGGACTTCTGTGTCACAACTCATCAGTGTGGACAGACAGGTCCCAGTGCCAGTGCATGAAGCCCCATCTCCCAGTGGAAGAGAGGGCTTGATATCTCTCCACACTCCATGCCTTTTTGGTGGTATGGGTACAGGTCTATAATCTAGACTGCCCTTGGACCCTCTGAGCTTGTCTCCTGTGCCTCCCTCCCCTCACAGTAACTCCACACCCTAGTTTCCATACCATGGGCCTCTCCTGAATGTCCTGCATACCTTGGATCTTGCCACACAGTGTAGGTAGGCGGGAATGAATCTTTTTAAGGGGCAAGATCCAAAGCTGCTCTCAGAGGAAGAGCAGAAGGCCACTAGATATGAGGCTCTGCAGACTCACACCTGACGTTTTCCCTCTTTTTATAAGACTGAACAGAGCATAAGAAAAACAAGCGAACGATGAGTGATTAGCTACAGTAAAAATGTGAAAGATGCTCCAGAGACTCATCAAGACCGTGGTTCTTTTTCTTTTTTTCTTTTTTTTTGCAGTACCAGGGATCAAACTCAGGACCTTGTGCTTGCCAGGCAGGTGCTTATGCCGCTGCGCTATCTCCCTAGCCTAAGGCCATTGCTCTTGAAGGTAAACACACTTTCCCATGAATGCCTGACTGACCATTTCCCTCTATCTAACATCATCTCTCACAGAGCATGGTTTTGCAGAATATGTGGTGTTAACTATGATTCTCTGCATTTCCATAACTGGAAGATATCTACCTCTCTCTAGACCCTAAAAGCTTATTTTCTCTGAATTATAAAGCTGGCTCCTTCCTGAGAATTAAGTGCTGGGCTGAAGGCCAGATTGATTTTGGATACATCTACATTATTGGGCATGATCGAGATCATGTCCCGGCCAAGTTCTCTCCTCTGCTCTCCGAGGAGCTAGTCACAGACCTCGAGTTTGCAGGAAGAACACTCCATCTCCAGTAGCCTTGCTCACTTTGCCACTGCTGGGTCATTGCAAGAGCATTGGGTGCTGTGGGCCCTGGGCTCCTGAGTCACCAGATACACACCCAGAATATCCAATACCCATGAAGCTAGTACCCAGACCAGAGCCAGAAGGAGCCCCACCTCCACACGCCACCCAGGGCTACAGGCCCCAAGTTTGGACATAATGTGCCTGGTGCACTTCTGTCATCAGGATGTGTGTGCAAGACAGGCCTGTGGACTCAAATGGACACAGGCAAACCATTATCCATTGTGTGGACAGGCACTCAGCCCTCAGTTCATTCTTGTCTTCTATGGCCCCACATCACTCAGATGCAGCCCCCACGAGGACTGGTTGAGAGGGTTCTCTTGGTGAATATGCCCATGCTGTGCACACTGTCCCGATTTCTGAAGGTTTTGCTGGTATCTAAGGTGGGTTTTAACCATGACTCAGAAGTCCTGAGCATCCTGAGGATGGGGTACTGGGGCTGAGGGGTGGTTAAGGCAGCTCAATATGGTAGAAAACTCAGGTTTTACCCACTACTTAATTTCCACCTGGTACATAAAGCCTGATGCTGGGAAAGGTGGCCCTGAGCACACTAGTTCTAGCCATGTTCAGGTGCTCCAAGGTAGCAACGCTGTTTCTCCTTTGCAATGATCTGCTAACCAACAAGAGTCCTTGCAAGTTCATCAGTGCGCTCAGTTGCCAGCCCTGCACTAAGCAGCCGCTGACAGCCCAGGCAGGTCCTCCCCCCCTTTCCCCAGCTTGGCCAGGGACTCAAGCATTTCTCTGTCTGCATCACTGTCTCTACCACCTGAGCTTACCTGAGGACCCCAGGACCTCAGAGTCTGCCCTGCGGCCTTGTTACCTTGAGCATTCCACCTCCATCACGCTTTCATTCTGCCGAGAAGGAATAAGACATCCATCCTCTAGAAGAGGATGCCATGGCAGATGACTCCAGGTCAGACCCTGCATGTGAGGGAATGCTTGCCTTCCCCCACTCAAAGGACTGTCGCTGGGATAGAGGGCCTGGGACGGGGTGGGTTGGGAGCAGATGGATTCCAGATGTGCTTTCTACACTCAAGATTCACTTTCCCCACACACGCTGGCTTGAATAATAAACAAACTGTAAAAAGGAAAAGAAAAAAAAATATTTCTACGGTCTAGCTGCTTTCCCCCTGACATAAAAGGAAGGCATAGTAAGATCTTTCAATTGGTCAGAAACAGGATGCCATAGTTATAAAAGATATGTCCTCCTGTGCCTCTTTGTCTTCCAGACTGAATCAGAACACCAACTATTTGTCAATTAGCAAACTTCCCTAGAAAGCAACAATTTTCTTTTCTCTTTTTTCACTCCCAAGAACTTAGAAAGGAAGTCAGGAGCCGGCTCATATTAAGGCTTCAGCAAAATTCCTTTGCTAATGAGTCTTTTCCTTTGTTCTGGTTGTCTTGGGTGACTTCACCCTGCCTTCAGAGATAGTTCACGGGAAATGCGGGCTACACACATAACCCTGCGCTCCTGGTGCTTTGATCTCAGCCCATGAACAGAGCCCTGCATGAAACAGCGCACATTCCAGATACATGAGGGACGGGGCTACATCCTCTCCGCTATTCTTGAGTGTGGTCATGCATGTGCTTGGCTGCTTGTTGGTGACCCTTTTGTGGGCACTTAGCAAACAAGACTCAATGCTGTGACAAATTAGGGTGCAGGTCAGGGAACCCCAGACATGGAGGCTGTGCCCCAGGGTCCTCGGGCACTATCTCCAAGCATTTCCCTGGGAATGGCTTGCTGGGCTTCCAGATGTATCCACTGGAAGGAAGCTGAACACGGTGTTAGAGTTTGTTCTGCCCACTTCGCTTCCCCATCAGTATATCTTTCTCTATCTTGCTTGTTCTCAGTAAGGGCACGGGATTGGCACACTACCAAGATTTCCACAAAAGAAATGCTGGAGTGTGCAAACTGGCTCTGAGAGACAGCTATCAGCAGATGCACACCAGCAGTGCCTTTCCCAAGAAGGTGACTAGTGTTCACAGGAGTCCCTTCAGTGACTTGCACCTTCTGGATTTACACAGGGTGAAAGTGAGGCCAGGGGAGGGGCTCTTTGTTCTTTGTGTAAGGCCTGCTCAGACTGGATATCTCTGTTGTCTGCTTCCAGGGCACCCCAGCAGGAATGGCTGCTATGGGACACTGTCACCTTGCCACTTGTCCCTTAAAGAGGAGGTCATAAAAGCTTCTCCAATGTGCTTTACAGCTGAATTGCTTCTAGCTACTGTGCTAGCAAAATATTGAAATGCTATCCTGGTGGTTTTTCCTGGAGATTTGGGAAACTCTGAAACCAGAGACATGGATCAGAACCTCCCAGGGTAAGGAACAAGGTACTCTCCCTGGAGCTCCCTATGCCAGCACAGCTAGCCAAAGAGAAAGGCCCACCCAGGGGTGCCCACTCTCTGCTGAAGAGTCTTTTCCCCGATTTGACCTAGTTGGCCCATTCTCTCATTGAGCTGACATGGCTTCAATTCCTCAAAAAATAGAATGCAAAGAACAAAAAACAATGAAAGTGAGAGAGGGAAGGAAGAGGGAGAGTAGGAGATTGAACAAGAGAGACTTCATATTTATGAACATCTGTAATAAAAACAATAACTGAAATGTAGTATTAGCTGAAACTTGGTAGAATTCCACTCAGTATATTGGCTTTAAAAAAAAAGTCATATCTCCAAAAGCATATGGGATATCTGTTAATGAAATTCATCCAACAGAAAATTCAGGGCAAAGGAATAAGATTTAGCTCCAGGACTGATAAGAAAGGAATTGTGAAGCTAGATGTAAAGACAGAGGTTTGGCTAGTCCACAGCCCCTCCCTGTTAACCAAAACAACTTGGTTAAGGGTGGCCACCAGGCTCTGGCAGTAGAAAGGGGTTCTACCACAAGGTTACCCTGAGTTTCTCCAGAGTATGAGAAGCTGACATTCTCACTAGTTTTGTAATAAAAATATATACATGCAACATAGAGAATCATGGAAATAAACGCCATGACTTCCGGTTAATTTTTCTGATATCATAATTTCTGTTTAATTTTTCTGATGTCTGAGAAAAAAAGAAAGAGAAAACCCCCTGGATTGTGAGAAATCAGGTCAGGACAATATGTTAAATTTCTTCTACAGGAAATGGGAATCTCTACTATCCAAATATGGTAGAAAATTAGAGAACTCCTGTGCTTTAAAAAAAGTTCACAAATGTAAGGGGGAAGAGTGGCTTTCAGGATGGAAACTGGTGACATCAGTCCCTCTGCGTCTTAAAGGCAGGCTCCTAAGGGCTGGCTTTGCAGGTCAGAGCTCTGGTCTCAGGGATTAGGAGTGACCAGGACCCCCATGAGAATATTTGCTGGTTTGCTGATTGAAAAAAAAAATGTGGGAGTCTTCTATGACAACAAAATTATGCATCCGAACATTGAATTCTGCATCATTTAAGAAACTGTACAGGTTTGGGCACTTCTGTGATTCTCAGCACCACACGTCCACCCAACACCACCACCTACACAAAATCAGCCCATGCCACAGCAATTCTCACTATTCATTTAGCTGTAGAACATAACCCTCCTCCCCTGTACTCTCTTAGAAGTAGTTTTCTTAATTTTGCCTGCAAGATTGTCATCTATGAAGAAAAGAATATCAAAAAGATAATTTATGCATATGTGACTTTATGCAACATCTGAGACTCTAATGTCCAGATCTTAGACACAATTGGGAAGTCTCACAGCTCTGGCTATAGGATGGGATCCAGGCACATAGCAGGAGAGCTCTCTGTCCCCATCATTATTCTCTTTAGTACAATGTTCTTTTTTTTTTTTTTTTTCCGGAACCGGGGATTGAACTCAGGCCCTTGTGCTTGCCAGGCAAGCTCTTATTCTATTGAGCTATCTCCCTGGCCCTTAGTGCAATGTTCTGAACAAAGTGTGTCTCTTTGAAAAATCCAATGAGACATCTCTTTCTTACACCTAAATATAGAACCCCATAAAGAAAGAGCCATTGGGAGGAAGCTAGAAAGAGAGACAGACAGACACTATGTGCAGCTGGGGCCCTTACGGGGTGCAAGAACTCTCCTAGGCACTATCTCAGTTATGAGCACCCAGTTTTCCATAAGAATCTTACTTACTGCACTGTGGGGACATTTGTTTTTCGGTTCCCATCCTGACAGTTCTGATTGCCTTATTGGAGACATGTTAGTAAAATTGTAATTTTGCAGCTAGTGTAACCTAAAAGGATGATTTTTCCACCCGCAGGACCACAAGCTCCTCCTCGCAGCGCCGCAGGCCCCCGGCCCTCATTCCCGGAGGGCCTCTAACTTTCTAACTGTCCACGGAAGACGACTGACGGAGATGGCTCTTTCTGGCGGTGCTGCTCCACGAAGAGCCACCTCCGTTCATTCATGGCTTTCCACACGCCTAATTTCTAACTTCCCAACAGCAGCTGAAAGGGAGCGGCGCCCCTGGACCCCCTCGAGGCTTGGTTCTCACAGTGAGGGGCGGTGCTGATGAGGGCAGCGCGCCGGGGATCCTAAACGTAGGTCCCACGGCCCCAGCCCCAGCCCGGGGTCGGGGCACCCAGCCGCAGCCCCGTCGCTCACCTCGGTCTGCAGAGAACACCAGGACGCTAGCATCTTGAGGGCCGCCCCCGCTCAGACCAGTCCCGTGCTCGGGGAGCTGCTGTGGCTTGGGTTTCCTTCTGGCTTGGCTGGGCCGTCGCAAGCACTAGTCCTGGTCGCGTGTTCCTCAACCGGCTTGTTCAGCCTCTGTCCCAGCCAAGTCAAAGCGCAAACTTTTGCTGTGGCCTGCCGGGGCGGGGCCCCGAGATGGCCCTCCCGAACCTCGTGTTCCCGCCCCAATACCATGACCACGCCCTCATTCCAGCCCATAGCCACGCCTACCGCCGGTGCCCCATCGCCCGAGCCCGCCCATCGCCCTGCCCATCACCGCGCCCCGCCTCGGGGCTGCTCGTAGCCCCTCTCACCTCCGGGTCCTCTCTCCGCCCAGGGTCCACGCATCGTTCCGCCCATTCCCCCTGGCTCGGCTCCTGCGCCACCTGAGCGCAACCAAGTTCATACTCTGCTCAGGATTCGCCCTCTGGTGTAGGTCGTGGTCCGCTTATGCGAAGTCTGCAACAGGGGAATCCCAGGAAGGGAACTGCCAGGATGTCAATGAGAAAGAAAAGCGCGGGTCTTGACTGCCTGAACACGGGGAAACAGTCTTGGCAGTTTTGTGAATGAAGGGACCACAGGAAACAAAAAGGGGGAGGAGAAAGGAAGGAGAACCTGAGGCCTGCCAGTCTGAGAAGTCCCTGACAGCCTTCTGGGGCCCTGAGAGGCTTAGTGAGCAAGTCTGGGTTCCTTCTGCTCTCTCCACCCCCAGGATCCCCTGCCCCACCTGCCTTGATGGAGCTGGTGTTGTTTTGGGGCACACTTGCCATGCTGCTTGCAGTTGGTGCACTTCTGCCACCCTCCACCCTTTCTTTGGTTTGCTAGTAAGAAAAGCAAGCCCTCAGGCATGAGTCCTACCCTGAGCAGCAGCAGGGCTGTCCACCTTCCCCAGTGACTCAGTGGCAGTGTAGACACCTGAGCTGGGGATAACTCTCCACATTCCCCAGCCCAGTTAGCCTAGCCTTCAGTCTCCAGTGGCTTGGCTCAGTGGCTTGGGCACAGCTCCCAGAACATACTCCTGTCCCAAACTGTGAGCAGGATGTAGTACTCCTAGAGCACCAAGTGAAGGACAGTACATCAGGGACTGGGCTGCATGTCCACATCCCATGGCCAGGGTGACACTCCAGCTCCTGGCCAGTGTCCACACTTTGTCCACACAGTCAGTTGGCTCATCAAGTCTGTCCAGGTAGCTGCTGCTCCCTTAGCACGAGCACTGCTGGGGTTCGGGAGGATGTCTGTTTTGGCTGGCACTCTCAGCTCCATTCTCAGAGAAAAACTGTGACCTACTAGGACATGGGGACTGTGACTCTTACTCGTGCCCACAAACTATTTTGCCTACAAACTGCCTTGGGAAATACTGAGGCTCTTTACTTGTCCTGAAGTTTTCCCTGAGACACAGGAATCTGGCCTGTGGCATCACAAGGTGTGCCTTGAGGGTGACCCCTCTTTTGGTGAAGTTTCTTTCCCTCAAAAATTCCTGCCACAGAAGCTCTGACCACACACAGGCTTGCCACTGGGCAGGTGCTCCCAGCAGTGTCTGCTTTCCTGTGTCTAAGACAGCTGGGTGCTCTGAGGCCTTCTAAAGCCTGAAGAGACAGACTTCCCTTGCCCCTTCTCTGGGGAGAATTGGCTCTCCCTACAATCCTGTTGAATAACATCTCCCCTTCTTCATCCCTGATTCCCGAGGAAAAGCAATGTAATGCAGCAATCAGGAGCACAGGAGGAACAGGAATTGCTGACTCCACCTTCTGCAGCCCATGGTATAGAACTAAGGCAGGGTGCATCAGCAGGTGAAAGTACAGGTGAGCTAGTAATCAGTCACCCTGTGCCAACTAGAAAGGGAGAAAGCCTTCCTTTTTCCATGGAAGCCGGTGGATGTGATGGCAGATTTTTGTCATCTGGCTTGACCAATTGTCTGCTTGACCAGAGCTTTGGACAAGCAGTCTACTAAAGAGGTCTGTGTGACCACTTTTGGATGAGGTAAACATTTGAATCTATAGACTGAGTGAAGCTCCTGGTCCTTTGCAGTGTGTGTGGACCTCATTTGATCAATTGAAGGCTTGGGTAGACCTTTTTTGAAGGGAATAAGCCAAATGTCTGTGTGTGTGTGTGTGTGTGTGTGTGTGTGTGTGTGTGCATGTGCACATGTGCATGTGTGAGAATATGTAGCTCTTTGGTTCTGTTTCTCTGTAGGACTCTGACTAATGATATGAGGGCCCCAGGGAAAGAGTTGGGGATCTGGGTCTTGCGGCTCATCTGCAATTCAACAAACAACCCCAAGCCACTTCCTCTCTTCTGGCTTCTCTATATAGGACTTGAGAGACATAGCTTTAAAATAGTGATCTAGATGTAGCTTTGTAGAATTCAACTTGGCTTTTTTGCAATGACCTTGTCTGGACCCAAAGGAAGCCTCTGACTCATTGTCAGAATCCTTCAAGGAAGAATGTCATTGATGACAGAGATGGGTATCAAGGCTGAGAGACCATATTACCTTGTTCCTACATCACACGCCTACTCTGTCTCCTGTCTCAAGTTCGTCAGGGGCTACAGGAAGTCTAGGAATTGTTCTTTTCACGTTTTATATATTAGAAGGATATTTCTAATATTCAGAAATACAACTAGCGAATGCATGTGTTTGTGCAAATGGTATATGTGTGGTATTTGTAATGTGTGTTTGTGTCATATATGCAATGTGTATATGGCATGTGACATAAATGTGTGTGTTTGTGTGTGGTATGTGTATGCTATATGTGGAATGTGACATATATGTATGTGATATGTATGTGTGGTATTATTGTGTGATGTGTGTGATATGCGGTGTGTGGTGTATGATGTATATATGTGGAGTGCATTGTAGGGGTGTGTGTGTGTGTGTGTGTGTGTGTGTGTGTGTGTGCATGTGGTGTATGTGCTGCAGAGGGTGGAATTGTTTCAGGAAGATTCACACTAGGATCACGAAGTCTTATAAGCAATGAATAATTGGCCTTTGGGGTTCCAGAGCTGGGCTCCTGAAGTTCTGGGGTTTGCTTTCCAGTGGGCTGAGATGACGTGGGGCTGGGCCCCATTAGCTTTAGAATAGAGGATGGTGTCCGAGAAACAAAGCATGGGACTAGAGAGTTGGAACTTTCAGCCCCACTCCACCTCTTAGAGCGGGGAGACCAATCTCCACTGATGTCATCACTCATGCCAGTGCAGTGACACCCCAGGAAAACCCCTGCTTCTGAGTTTGGAAGGCCGTGGGTGGGTGAGCATGCAGAGTTGCCTGGGGCACTGTGGGAGCCCTGCACCTCTCTCCCACACCTTGTCCTGTGTTCCTCTTCACTGGGATGTTCCAGATTATTTCAATAAGTAAAAGTCCTCTGAAGTTCTGTGAAGTTCCAGGGTGGAGGATGTAGATTTAGGGCTGGGTCAGTAGCTGCCTGGGAAGAAGTGTCAAACATTGCCTGCAGGGGCAGTTTTGTGGGGCTGACCATTGATCTGTGGAATCCTTCTTAACTCTAGGTGGTTAGTGTCAGAATAGGCTCAAATGGCAGGACATCCATTTGGTGTTGGAGAACTGAAGAACCGGTAGGTGTTGGGGTGACACATGTTGTCAGGAACGAGGACCAGACCCTGAGCAGGAAGACCCAGAGGCTCCTCCCTAGTCCCAGGTTTTGCTGCCAAAGGGGAACTCCCTAAGGGACCCTCACAGCCAAGGGAGGAGGCCATACCCCAGGGAGCCACAAGCAGCATATCTCACTTCTGGTTGCTTTCCACCCATCTCTCACCTCCCTTGTCTTGCTCTTATGAAGCAGCTCTGTTGGCTCTGTCATCCCAAACCCTCTCTGGGATTGGCAGAGCACCACCCCCAAAAATCCTTACATACAGTAGTTGTTCTGTGCTTTGGTGACTTCAATTCTTGCTGGGCATATGACCTTCTCTGCCTTTGTTGTCACTTCAAATGACGAGCTGTTTAGCTTATATGTCATTAAAGTTGCTGAAAATTATTCTACAGGTCTCTAAAGGAGGTTTTGGGAAGACTGCACATTTGGAGTAGTAGGTTTAGGTGGCATGGGCAGTCCGACTTTTCATTCTTATTCCTTGCTTTATGATACGGGCTGTTTTATCATGTGTAGACATTTTTATTTTTAAAAAGGCTGAATTGGAAGAGTTGTCCTGCAATGACAAGTATACATGATAGTGTAGCGGACAGAGCTGTTTTTATTTGAAGGTTTACATTGCAGTCTTCACAGTTAAGCTTTCTCTGTTCTTGCTTGCACTGTGCTTATTCCTGCCCTTTAGCCCAGTAGGTCTGCCCCATGCAGCAGCTCTGTTTAGTGGCTGTGAAGAGACTGCAGATCAGGCTGGTGCACAGAGTGGTGACCTCCCCTATGGGGACCCTCTCTGTGCAGGCTCCAAGTCACTGGGGTCACCGATCAGAAAGAGAGCCTGGTCAGGCTGAGCATTGGGCAGCCACACGTGGAGGGGACCTCCTCGGGGCTACATAAAAGCAAGGCAGTCCTCAAAGGTCAGTGGTCACAGCCCTGTCTCCCTGCCTCCCCCAACCTGCTAGCCACAATGGGGACACAGCAGAAGGGAGAGGGAGCAGAGGCCTCTTGTGGTCTGCTCGCTGTCTGCTTGCCCTGCTGCCCTCTCCTCTTTCCAGGTTACATGTTACCCAGAAAACATTGGCATTATAGCTAAGTGCAAGTTCAAGAGCATATCTGGACTGGCTGTGCATACCCACACCAGGTACATGAACTTCTGGGGCCCGGAGTCCTTGTGGTGAAGAGTGTATTAGTACTTTTAACATGCAGAAGGTAAATTCGGCCAATGCCAGCTCTTGTGTAGGTGAAATCTTCACTCCTCTTCCCTGACTGAAGAGAGGATGAGAATTAAACACCCCTTGGGCAAATGACCACTTTTTCAAACATCCTGTAGCCGGATGAAATCCTGTAGCCCAATTTATTGTAAAAATAATCTCTAAAAAGAAAGTCTCATAACAAATAGAAAAAATGAGCAGGGTTAGCTCTTTGCTATTACTTCATTAATATGCATTACTTGTAGGTATCCATGGGGTTTGGTGCAGTGTTTTCCATGCATACTACAGGATGCCCTGATTAAACCCAGGCATCCTTTCCTGCCTGCCCTTAGCAA